ACCTTTTTTTGAACCCTTCCCTCCCCCCCCCGAAAAAAAGAACAGCAACAAGCCCAGATCAAAAGTTCATCAAACCGTAGCCTTTTCTTTCTCTCTTTTTTTTCTTTTCTTTCCATGACTGAGAACAATAATCATAATATCATTGGTCTTTACGGGCCTCACCAAGAGCCAACTACAACAACAAAAACAACAACAACAACAACAACAACAACAACAAAACAGCAAAAACAGCAACAACAGCAGCAACAGCAACAACAAAAACAACAACAAAACAGCAAAAACAACAACAACATCAGCAACAACAACAACAACAACAACAACAACAACAACAACAACAATCACTAAACACCAACTGGATAGTTCCCCAGTGATTGACAGAGTACCGTGTTTCCTCATTTGCCCTCCCTTTAGGGCTCTCCCGTTTCGTTTCCCGCTATATTCATCATAATATTAATATCCGGCTATCCTTTTCTTCTATTAACTCATGCAGGCCGTACAAAAAGGTCATCGCCTCTGTTCCCCATCCTCCATTCTTATCACACTCATCTAGTGCTTAGAAAAAGAAAGCTTTCTCCTAACTCACACTGTTCCTCACCCAACCCCCCAGACCTCTGGCCCTGAAAAAGCTCACCCAACAAGCAGACCCAAAACAAAACCACCACCCCTACCCCACCAAGCCTCCCATCCCCATCACCCACTACCTCCCACCCCCCCTCCCCTACCCTCAGACCGTAAGCAATCCACGTACTCTTCCCAAACCTCTCCACTTAACGCTTCCCTCAGAGTTTTTTGTTTTGTTTTTTTTCCTTTTCTCCCTCGGCAGACCGCGTTTTTCTTTCTTTTCTCCTTCTTTTTCGCATTCACCAGACAGCATCTCACAGCGCTCGCATAATTTTCTGTTTATTCCAGCAATTTTCTGCATCGAGCGGAGTAACCTGCCACTCAAAGTCTCGTACCTCCCCGAGAGCCGAAGCGTTTTGTAACGAGCCCTCCCATTGGCTGAAGCGAGAAGGGTGCCATATAAAATAGGCAGAACGTTCCAAGTCTAGGCCGTCGGCAGCAGATTCGTCTGACTGCCTTGCCACACGCGATATACTGAGATTTAGAAGCGTTATTTAGCATCCCTTCCAGTACAGTCTGTTGACTGTTAGGACTATTCGTCCACGTTGTTTCATCCTTTGATGACAGTCTGAAGTCCCTTTGCTTAATCAGCTAGGGTCGCAATTGTCACAGGAACCATGTGGAAGGAGACACTCGTATTCGTGCTGGCCTGCCTGGTGCTCATCAGAGCCCAGGGTGAGTATTTTGCCTGATCTTTGCATTCTTTTCTTATTATTTTTTCATTTCACATTTCCCCTCTTACTCTTTTTTCTTTTGGTTCTATCATGTTATCAATTTTTTTTTCTTTTCTTTTGTTTTATTATCCTTCCATCATGTTTTCACATAACTTTTAAGCCCTATCTTTCCTTCTCACAAATCTTGCGCCTGCCCATTCCTTCTTTCTTTCGATGCTCATATTTAACTCTCTTATGTCCTCCGCACCTCTTTGTATCCTCAATACTCTCTCTCTCTCTCTCTCTCTCTCTCTCTCTCTCTCTCTCTCTTTCTTTCTTTCTCTCCGATCTTCCTGTGCTACTGCCCCCTTTACATGTAACACACCTTCATCTATCTGTCTCTTTGTGCATGTTTTTCTCTACTTCTCTATCAAGTATTAACTCTTCATGTGCCACGACTGGTCAGCCTATGGCCATGGCACATTGGATTTGTCAAGCCTCTGGTCATGACACATCAGCCCACGGCACACAAAGAGTTAATCATTAGCTTCTCAAAGCTGCTTTTGTTTATTTCGCCCTCGCTGAACTGTTTTGCTTCTCTGAGAGGGTATCCCCATAGTGTGACAAAGGTCCGTTGATATTTGGCTGTAGCGATGACTATACCCAGCCTTGAAGTCCCATTAAGAACAGCTGAGGGTCAATCTCATGCACTTCTTGATGAACTTCAATGGTAATGACGTCACGGCTCGGCTTTTAGTATCAGACCAATCGGATTGTGTGCACACCCTCTTCCTTCCATTACATTATGTTCAAGTCATTTTCTTTTCTTTCAACTATTGGATATTATGCCAGTCGCATTTCTCGGCTTCAGCTTTGTCCTTCCCACTCAAATCGAAAGAAAACATAATAATATACTATTACCGTATTACATTATCATCGACTTATTTCTGTTTCATTTTCTTACAAAAGGTTATTGGTATCTTATTCTGGCATCTTGGCTTTTTTCTATACTTTATATTTTTGTAGCTCAATTTTCTGAACGGTGTGGCAAATGTTTCCACATTCTAAATATTTTGTAATATCTGCAATGGTGTAGGTCTTAGCTGTTCATATATCTTGCTGCGTGGATTTTCTCGGACAAAAACTTAAGCAAAACTCTGAACCGCTTGAAGTAGTGGGAAAAATTTCAGTAATAACTTACTCCATATTCCTAGATAATTTTGTTGATCTTATTTCAAATTCTTAAAGGCGCTCGGAGAGATACCCACAACCTTCAATTCAGTCTCGGATACATTGGTTTCTAATCAGATAGATTCAAAGATAACAAGCGAAAACAAAAACAAGAAGCAAGTCGAGAAAACAGAGAATTGCCAAAGCGGTTTCTTGATAGCGAAACAAACATACGAGCGTTGACACTAGGCGGCAAGGAGGCAGACTCTCATGCAGATGATAAAGTAATTAATTAAGTATAAACACTTGTTCTAGTCCAGGGAGGTCAACGAGAAATGATAACAATATTATAGGGATAGTTCTTTTAAAAAAAAGTATGTAGGTTGATAGGTGATGACGTATAAATCTTGGTGTTTAGATTTAACAATAAAAAGTTATCATTACGAAAACAAAACAAAACAAAACAATCAGAACCCACAAAAACAACAACAAACAACAACAACATCATCATCATCATCAACAACAACAACAACAATAACACACAAACAAACACGCACGCACACACACACACACACACACA